CGAGGGGGCCAACGGCAGCCCAGCCTCATTGGCCAGCAGCCCGCTCTCCCTCCCCCTCTCACCGGAGCGCCCCCCGTCTCCCAGTCCAGCCGGGCAGCTGGTGGCCGATATCGACCCGGAAGTGGTTCAGAACGTGCTGCGAGACTTCCTGGAAGAGCTGAGGGAGGCCCAGCAAGAACGGGTATAATAATAATAATAATAATGATGATGATGATGATGATGATGATGATGATAAGCTGATTCTATTAATAATTGTTCCCTATTTAAATGTGCTGCTTTTCATGAAAGGAAAGGAGAGGAAAGGCTAATATAATAATAATAATAATAATAACAACAACAACAATAGTTGGAAGGGACCTTGGAGGTCATCTAGTCCAACCCCCTGCTCAGGCAGGAAACCCTATACCGTTTCGGACAAATGGCTGTCCAGTCTCTTCTTAAAAACTTCCAGTGTTGGAGCATTCACCGCTTCTGGTGGCAGGCAGTTCCACTGGTTAATTGTTCTCACTGTCAGGAAGTTTCTCCTTAGTTCTAGGCTGCTTCTCTCCTTGATGAGTTTCCATCCGTTGCTTCTTGTCCTGCCTTCAGGGGCCTTGGAGAATAGCTTGACTCCCTCTTCTTTGGGGCAGCCCCTGAGATATTGGAACACCGCTATCCTGTCCCCCCCCTCGTCCTTCTCTTCGTTAAACAGAGGAGAGGAGTCGCACTTTGGGTGGCTGCAGTGGCAGATGTCCCCCTCTCCCTCCCCCAAAAAAGAAACCTTTGGGTGCATTTTCTTCTGTCTTTCGGGATCCAGGACGAAGCACGTTCCCAGCTGGGTGCCCTGAAGTGTCAGCTGGCCGAGACGGAGGCCCAGCGTGACCTGGCCAGTGGCCGCGTGCAGCAGCTGCAGAAGCAGGTGGCCGCCTGCGAGGAAGGTAGCTTGCTTCTCTCTTCCCAGGAAATATAAAGTGGATGTAGCTCCTGAAGGCAGAAGCAGGGGGGGAGGGGGCGAATGCTCCCTTTCATGCTTTGCTTGTCGTGGGAGATGGCTTTTCTCACCGGATACTTCCGGACAGAAGACAAGCCCTTTCTCCTGAATTAACACGTGTCCGTTTTGTAAAGGCAGCCATCCAGACAGCATGGTGGCCCTCGGCTACAGTGTCCGGCACCCCAGTCAGAAGGGTGCTGCTCAGTGGGACAACTTCTCCTTGGAGGGGTTCCTTCTTTGGGCCCTTCAGGAATGGGGGCTTGGCCCCCTGGTCATCGGAGCTGCCCGCCTGCCCCGCAGAAAGAGGGAGACTGTTCTGGAGAGCCCTTCCCTGAACGCAGGTGCTGCTCCTTCTGCAGAGAGGCGCAGTCTGGACGGGAAGCTGACTGGGTCCCAGACGGCTTTGATGCTTCAGGAGGAGACCCTGCGCTGGAGTGAGAGAGAGCGCAAGGCCCAGGCAGAGAAGCTGGCCGAGCTGGAGCACGACCTGCAGGCGGCCACGAGCGAGCGGAGGGCCACACAGGTGTGCAGGGGGGGGCAGGTTCCTCCTCTGGCCTTGCAGAAGGGCGTGTTTAGGGGGAGGGGATTCTTCCATCCTTCTCCCCACCATCTGAGCAAAGGGCGGAGCTGGAAATAACCGCTGCTCCCATCCAGCTTCCTCTGCTGAGTCCCAGGAGGGCTTCCCCATCCCGGCTCTCTCTCCTGAACTCCAAGCTCAAGAACCAGCCCACCGGGCCGTGCGCTGAGCCGAGGGGTGGCGGCAGAGCTGGCTGCGTCGTCCCCCCCAGAGCTCACCGGTTTCCCAGCTGGCCATCTCCAGATCGGCTCAGCCTGTCCCGGCCGGCTAGCCAGAAACACTTGGCGATCTCCCTTCCCGTCCTCTCGCTTGTCCCAGGAGAAACTCGGCAAGATGAAGGCCAACGAGGCCAAGGTGGAGGTGGAGAAGCGGCGCCTGAGAGAGGCCCTGGGCAGTTCGGAGAGCCGCAGCACCAAACTGGAGCTTCTGCGGCGGTCGCTGGAAGGGGAGCTGCAGCGGGCCAAGGTGGTGCTCAGTGACCGTGAGGCCGAGCTCCAGCTGCTTCAGGAGCGCGTTGCCCTCATGCAGAGGCAGGTGAGCTCCCGGGCGATCACAGGGAACCGCCCCGGGCCCAGCCCTCCCTACCCCCTTGACGGCAGAGCACGGAGCGGAGCCTTTGGCTGCCAGCCAGCCTGACTTTGGCCTGTTCCCACCACGCAAGGTGACAGAGAGCGAGATGCGAGCCAGTGCTCTGCAGTGCTCCTTGGACCAACTCAACCTCTCGCTGGCCAAGGCTGCCGATTCCGAGAGCTGCCTGAAAGAGAAGGTGCAGGGGCTGACGGCCACCCTGTCCGAGAGCCAGACCACCAGCGCCTCGGCCCAGGAGAAGCTGCTGCAGCTGCAGAAGGCCCTGGCAGCCGGGGCGCACGAGCAGAGGATCCTGCAGGTGGGTGTGTTTGGGGCAACCCCCCCCCTTCGTCGACGGTGGCCGTCGCTCTGCCGAGAGAGATGGGGACCCACCTCCCTCCTCCTGTGTCCCTTCAGGAGCGGCTGGAGGCAGCCCGCCAGGCCCTCTTGGAAGCCAAGAAGCAGAACGGGGCGTTTTCGGAGCGCCTCCAAGCCCTGAAGGGGCAGCAGGCCGAGCTGGAGCTGCAGAAGGAGGAGCTAGAGGGGATGGGGAGACAGCAGGAAGAGGCGAGTCGCTTGACCCCGCAGAGATGCCCTCGGTTTGCTCGCCGTAAGGAAGCAGACCTGCCAGGCCGGCGTTGGAGGTCCGGGTGGGCTGAGAGTCTTCCCGGGCGTCCCTAAAGAGCTGGTTTCGCTCCCAGGGACAGCAGGCAGGGGCGAGCCATGCCTGGAAACTCGCCCTCACATGCCCTCTTCTCTCCCCCCCCTTCGCCTGCAGCTGCTGCGCCAACGCCAGGAGGGGGAGGCCGTTGCCCTGCGGAAGCTGCAGAAGGCGCAAGAGGACCGGCGCCTGCTCCAGGAGCGCCTGGGCAGTCTGCAGAAGGCCCTGGCCCAGCTGGAGAGCGAGAAACGGGAAGCCGAGCGCCTGTCCTTGCGCCTGGAGAAGGAGAAAGGCGCCCTGCGGAGGACCCTGGACAAGGTCAGTCGTGCGGCTTTGGGGGAAGCCGGAGAGGAGAGGCCTGGGGGGGGAACCAAGAGCAGGTTTCCAGAGCGGAGGGGGCTCAGCTCGCAGACCACATGTTAACCCAGTGGCTCCTGTGGTTGTGCGAGTCACGGGGGACGGGGGGGCCTTTGTGCAGCAACTGAGGTGTGGGATCGCCAGGTGGAGCGTGAGAAGCTGAAGACTCACGAGGACTCGGTGCGGCTGTCCGTGGAGAAGGGGCGCCTGGATCGTTCCCTCACGGGCGCGGAGCTAGAACTGATGGGAGCCCAACAGCAGATACGGCAGCTGGAGGTAACGGTGGCCACGGGCCCCGGCGGGTGGCAGCCTCCGCCGGTGCCTGCCCCACGGACGCCTCCTCCTCCTCCCTCCAGCTGGGGAAGGAGAGAGTGTCTCAGCCCCCGCCAGCTCCCTGGATAGGAACAGGGCCCTCCACTCCCTGGCCCCTTGGAGGCTCCCCAGAGGTCAGTGCTGGCCCAGGTGGCCGGCCCAATGGAAGGGGGAGACTGGAGAGCGATGCATCTCCTTGAAGGAGCCAGATGGACGTTAACACCGACATTCCCTCGGCTGACCCAGGTGCAGGTAGCAGAGCTGGAGCAGGCCCGGGGGAAGAAGCCTCTTGGCCAAGCAACTGCCCCACAGCGGCAGGAGGGCGAACGCCGGAGCGATCCCCACCGTCATGGTGGCAGAGGGCTGGAAGAGCAGGTGAGCCCCCTCCCTCCTGGGGACTCCGGCCCGGCTGCGTGCTCCTCCTGCTCCCCCTTGCCTGGACACTGAAGGGGCCTTTCTCCCCCCACCCACCCACAGATCTCGACTCTGAAGGAGCAGCTGCAGCAAGACCCCCAGAAGGGGCAGCCTCGTTTCCCGGCTTCCCCTCTTTTTTCCGGACACTGAACCGTGGTGGCAAGACGCGTGGAGGGAGCCAAGTTCCCACGACTCTAAAGAGCGCCACGGAAAGAGGGGAGCCCTAGATTCACACGCGGTGTAAGGTAGTGCAAACCGCAGCTTATTCTTTTCGAGAAGGCCTCGGTCGTTTGAAGAGTTTCGTTACTTCTCGGATCCAAGCTGGATCAGAAGAAGCCCCCGTCCCCCCCTAAAACGAAGCTGCCTGGGGCAGAGAACGGGGTCCTCTGAGCAGATGCTGGCCTGGTCTCTGGCTGGGGTGGGAGAGCCACCCCCCCTCCATTGGCTGGAGCCGCGTTTTATGTCCCAGGATGGGCCAAAGGGGCATTGGGGCTCCTTGACCAAGGTTTTTTTATTTTATTTTATTTTAAATCTAACTGTAGATCCTAATCAGGTGCGTATTTCTCTCTGTTTTGGCTCTTTACGTAGCCCCCAATCATGGAAAGTAGGAAGTCATTTTTTATATCAGAGGAACTGTTAGTTTTTGCCCCTGGTCCTCGTAACGTAGAAGGGGGGATATTTTTGTAATGAAAGACTTGAGCGTTTCCCACCCTCCGCCCCCTTTTCTATTTCAGAAGGGTGGTGAGAATGCAGGGAGGAGGGCTAATGTAACACCATCACCTTCTGTCCCGAAAAAAAAAAACCACTTTGACTTACAAATCAAATCGTGACACGTTTGGTCTGTTTATTTATTTTTTAATCTTTTTGTAGAAAAAAAAAATTAGGGAGAGAACGGTTCGTACAAAAAAATAACAGGTTGCAATTACAAGACCCGGTTCGCTGGGTGACGGCATGCTGGAGGGACGGCGGTGGGTCCCCGCTGAGACGCCTGCCGAGTCACGCCGGGAATGAGCAGCCCTGCAGGTGTGCCCCTGCTGCGGCGGGGGAGGGGGCCAAGGAGGGCTGCTGTTCCTCGGGGCGCGAATCGGTGGCGTCATCCGTGGTCCAGGAGTGCCTCCCCCGTTGCCACGGCTCTTTCCCCACTCAGCAGCCGCCACAACTTCGGGCACAAGAGGCAGCCATAGTCTGGCAAAGCCCGCTGGTCGCCATGATGCCGCACTTGGAGAATCTGTCACGACAGAGGTCGGCTGGGGGGGGGGAGGCAGGAGGAGAGGAACCATCAGGAGCAGAATCCCCACATCTCCTAACCCCTCCCCCCCCACGCCACAGGTTTTAGGCAAAGCTGTCCCAAGTGCTGCTGGGATGGGGGTTAGGGTTAGGGTGCCCCCAAACAGCCTTTCCAGCTAGCGGCTGCCCCTGTAACCTTTGCGCCCGGAGGACGCACAAACACACACACACCCGTTCTTTGTGTGCGTACCTCTTAGGAGTTCTTCGTGAGCACAGACCGTACGGACGCAGATCTCCTTATTGATCACGTAAACCCTGCGGAGACTGAGCGTGGGAAAGGTCAGAGAATTTCTCCCTTTGCACACTTCCCCGCCACGGCCCACCCGGGAAGGAGAGGTGGAGCTTGCGTTAAAGCAGACCCCCACCCCACCCATACCCCACCCCACCGACACGCCTGAATCGGCGGGCAGCCCCTCTCCCCTCCCGCCTGCAAAGGTTTCCGCGGGATCGGCTGCAGGCCGACTGCAAGCACAGCAGCTCCCTCGCAAGTTGGTTCAGGAGCCTAGCCTGCTGGGGGGAGAAAGGTGGAGATTGTGTGTGTGTGTGGGGGGGGGGGGTTGGTCCTGCTCCAATGGCAGCCGCTCACCTGTAGAAGCAGATCTCGTTCAGACACTGCTTGCAAGGCTTGTAAATGGAATACAGCCTGGTGCAGGGGTACTGCTCCTCCTGGCAGTCTGGAGACCAAAAACAAGATGGGGTGGGGGGAGTGGGGTGGGGGGTGAAGCTACATTGAGTCCCAAGAGCCTTTAGCTTGCTTTTCACCCCTCCCCCTCCCCAGCCCCATAGGCCGGGGAGCAGCATCCGCCCCTCTGGGACAGAGGAGGCATCCCAGGGGGGCCCTTGACACCAACTTGTGTGTTGCAGACCTCCGGAGGAGGGACTGATTTCAGAGCTGGCGACCTCTTACCAAGGGGCCCCGGTTCGGTGGGCTCCGTCTCAGAAACGTCTAGGGGGAGGGAAAAAGCCCAGATAGGAGCGTGTGAGTAACTGTCAGTAACTGGGAATGTGGGGGAGGGAGAGCAGTGCAGGAAGACACAAGGCAGGGAGGGTCTCTCTTCTGACACCTCCCCCCCGCCCACGTGCTGCTCACCTAGGGTTGGGGCAGGGATGACCTCCTGCTGGTTCTGCTGCTGGGACTGGAAGTGCTCCTCCGGAGTTTGGGGGGAGAGATCTGCAGGGTGGAGGAAGGGTGGTGGTGCTTGCTTTAGACAAGCCCTTTATGACAGGGGTCCCCAATCCGTGCGCTGTGGCTCGCTACCGGTCTGCGGCTTATGCAGAACAGGTGGCGGATGAGTGTGTGTGCACTTGCACACAAAGCTCGGATGAGCAGCAGCCGCTGGCTCCCCCTGCACAAAGCGCCCATCTACTACTCACAAAGGAACTATCCCCCCACCACCACCAGGCTGCCGAGCCAGAAAGATTGGGGACCACTGCTTTACAAGTTAGGGTTGGCCCTCCGGGCAGACTCACCGTTTCCGGCGTAATCGTAGTAATCCTGGCTCTCTGGAAAGAAGGAAGAGGCCAAAGGTGATTCGAGCTCCTGGAAGGAGCGCGGAGGGGGGAGTCCATCCGCCCTCCGAGCAGGATCCAGACGGGTCCCGGACCCTTGTTGCTACTCACCGATTTCATAAGGGGCGTACGGGGGCTCGGGGTAGGCGGGGTCATCGAGGTCATACTGCCCCTGAGCCAGAAGCGCTGCTGCGAAGGGAGAAGAGGGGGAAACTGAGGCCGGCGGTTCCAGGGTGGCCCCCACATCTGCCCAGGTGGGGCCCTTCCCGGCACCGTCGACTCGGAGAACCATGGCAATTGGGCACAAGTGGGCCTTCCCCCCCTTTCACGCTTCTTGACACAGACAGAAGCCAGGTGTCCCTTGCTGTGGGACCCTCACCCTGTGTTTGCGGTGAGCCCTTTGACCCTCCCCCCAACTCCCCCAGCATTTGGGAAAGAGGAGACCTCCTAGTGTTTCATTCCATGTGGCTCTGTCCTGGGCACATCCATCAAGTCATGGGATTGGGGTGGGTGGGTGAGTCCTGGGTCCCTTTGCCAAAGCAAGGCGGTCCTTTGGGGGCAGGAGGAGGGGGGTGTTTGGGGCCCGGCTTGGCCCTTACCTGGCAGGCAGAGGAGGAGGAGGGCCAGAAGAGTCCTCATGCTGGTCTGGGGGGTAGCCGAATCGAAGCCGAGCTGAAAGACGGGGGACACTCATTAGTTCTGCCTTCCAGTCTTGTTTGGGTTGGAAGGCAGAAACACATACACATACACACACACAAACCCTTTTAATAGCCTTTAACACAGAAGCAAACTTGGTGTGGTCCCCAAGCTTTCACTGCTAGTTGGGGGTGGATGGGCAGGCTGGATCAGAGGGCCTCCAGAGTCGAACTGCCCGGGGTAGCCCCTAAGGACCCCGTCTCCAGCACAGGTCGGATGCTCCCAGCAAGGATGCCGGGAACTCTTCCCACCTTCATGGATGTCTAGGATCCCCCACAGCTGACCCAACCTTCTCGGTCTGTTCGAGGAGGGGTGAGCTTCCAGAGATCAAAGCATCCTGTTCTCCCCCCCCCCCACCTGCTGGGATTTCTGCCTGCCCAGCCCTGCAGGAGTGGCTAGGAGAAGGCAGAGGCTTCCCGCTGTCCTTGCCCAGGAGAAGGCAGAGGCTTCCCGCTGTCCTTGCCCAGGCTGGCAGTTTTGGCCAAAGCCTCTCCAGACATAACTCGCTTCTCACTGCAGAGTTGGAAGAGAGATCCCGGAGCAGATCCTGCTCAGGGCTTGAGGGATGTTCCCGGGGCTGCAGAAAGCTGTTGCCCGCTGTTCTCTCCAGCGCAGAGGAGGAAGAGGAGCCCCCCCAGGCAAAGCCTGCATGTCAAGCTTTCAGGGTTGAGAAAGCAGCCCAGATTGACTCCGCTTCCCTGCCAGACCGGGTAAGTGTGGGGGACGTGCTGCTGATGGGGGCCGGGTGGAGGCCAGGGGCCGGGCTGCCCCAAGACCCCAGAACTTCAGCTCCCCTTTGCCTCAGCTCCCTTTGGCTTCCTTTCCTGCGCGCGAGGCAGCGGAGGTGTGCGAGAGGCTGGCTGGCGAGGGGGAAGGGGGCTCGGATGCTTTCGAGAAACCAGATGCTCCCGCCAGGCAACATCTGGGAGCAATCAGCCAGCTCCTGCACAGCCAAGAATGGCCGGCAGCCCCCTCCACAACTCCACCTCCCCATCCCACCCTCCCACTCCCCCCTTTTGCAACAAGTAGGAGAACAAAAGGGAGCCCTCCTCCCCGGCCACAAGGATTGAATGGGCAAATCCGTGGGTGTGAAGCAAGCCCCCTCAAGACAGAGTGGGGGGCTTTCAAAAAAAAAATAAATAAAGTCACTTCCTAAGAAGAGTAATCCAAAGTCCAGACTCTCAGGAACTGAGGGGGAGGGGGGCTTTCTACCAAGCCAACTTAGTTTTGCCAACCTTTTGTTTCTTTCTTTGGGAATCTTGGCCTGGCATTGAGGGGGGGCAGGAGGAGAGGGGGGGGCGTTGGCTTTTGGATATCTGTTGCTAAAGGTTCCTCTGAAAGGTAGCGCTTCCCTGCAGGGGAGAGGGCATCTCCCAAGAGCCCCCTTGGCATTCCTCCTTGCAGCCCTTTGCAGTCCCGGTTGCGAAGCGCCCCTTTCCTGACCCACAGCCCGTGGCGCCCCCCCCACAGCCACTTACCAGCTTGGTGGTCTTTCTCTCTCTCCGGCTGACTTTGCTCTACCTCCTCGCCTGGGTCTTACTTTGCAAAGGGGGCTGAAGGAGCCAGGCCTCCACTGCGGCAGCCTCCCTCCTGGGTCCTAATGCCGACTTCCTTCTCTCCGGGCAGCGGGGCTGAACGTTTCCCAGCGGTATTCCCAGGGGGAAGCTGCAGCCTGGAAGCCACGCTCAACGCTTGCTTCAAGGGCGTAAGCTCATCCAGTGGGTTTATTTCAAATATCCACAGTGGTGGAGGGACTGGCCAGCTCCTTCCATGAGGGTGGTGGCAGCTGTTGGACAGAAGCTGAGCCTCAAGGCCCAGGAGCAGTCTACCCTCATCTGAGACGGGCAGAAAGGATGCCTTCCTATTCCCTGAGATTGTCCTGTTAGAAGTGGCACGGGCTTTCGGTGGCTTGACCTGCGGTGGAGGGTTCAAACAAGCTGCTGCTTCTTCCTCTGCCCACTTTCTCCACCGCTGCTAGGAATGCCGCCGCAGGGGGCCTATGGAAGGCACCCGGGAACTACCAATTGGCTTCTGCGACGGGCCTGCTCTGCCAACGGGCCTTTCCAAACCATTTCTCCACTGTTTCCCCTCTTAGGGCAGAGGGCAGCTCCAGAGAGGCCCACGGCGGTTTTCTCAGGATCCCTTCGGGAACCGCCTGGGCTGGAAGACTCCCTGCCTGCAGGGTCAGCCCTTTCCTCACGTGCCTCTTGGCCAGGCTTTGCCATGCCACCTTTTAAGTCGTGCCCTGCCTGTAGTTGGCATTTATTTTCCTGAGTTTGTCCCAGACCCTCTTCATGCAAAGTTACTCGTTTAATACATTATTGCGTCTGTGATCATTAATTGTTCCATAGTAAGCCCTTCTGAATATCCAACCATAATTGCTAATATTAAGAAACTGGCATATATATACATATATATATTATACATATATACACATACATACATACATACACACACACAGAGACATACATACATATATATACACATACATATACATACATACATACATACATACATACATATATATGTAAGTGTTTTTTTTATGATGCATCCGGTCGGTCCAAATATGGGAAGAAGAAATCTTCGAATCTCAGAAGGCTGTAACTGGCTGATGAGAGCTAAGGAGCTCGAAATAGCTATACCAGCTTCCCTTTAACTCTTTGTTAGCAATCCAAATTTAACACACACACACATACATGTGCATGTATATATATATATGTATGTATGTATATGTATACAGACAAACGCGCGCACACACACACAGAAATCTTAACCAAAGCAAAACAGACTGAATGGCCCAGCTCTTTCTGGTCCTCTCTTGCGCAGGCTCCCTTTTTTCAATTGGGGAGGCCGTGGTGCAAGTGCAAAAGTGGCCATCCACAACGGGTGCCCGTCCGTGAAAAGCTGGTGAAGAATCCTTATCAACTAGAAATGGTAGCCAGAGGAACCCAGGCAGAGTAGAGACGGTCTCTTTGCAGTGGAAAGAAGACCTCCACTCGGTTCGTGGAATGGAGCTGATTCTCAAGACTGGCCAGGGACCAGCCCTTGGAGACAGCCTCCATCTTTCTCTGACCTGAAGTTCTGATTGGGGGGACGAGTGCTGCACGTGCTGAAATTCCCCAAAGGTCATTGGGCTCTTGCCTTTGACAAAGGGATCTCTCAGCCGGCTTTCTTTTAGCCAGCATGTGGCAAACAACGGCTGCTACAGACTTATCCTTTGAGGAGGAGGGAATTCAAGGAAGACACAACCCCGCCAGAGGAGCCCAAAATCTTGGGACTGCCGGTGGCTTCGACCGAGAGGCTGGTGGAAATAGCTCCTCTGCAACACAGCAATTCCGCTGTCGGTTATCTGGCTTAGAGAGAAATGCGAGTTTAAGAGGTTTCCTTCTCCGATGTGCTTAGAGGCTGAGAAACGCCACGGGGGAAGAGGAATCTCAGAGTTGCCTTTGTCAGTCGACGGAGGACCCCGGTGGATCAGGAGAGCTGTTGGGAGGAAGGGACTAGATCCGAAAAGGAACCGCAGCAGAGACCCGACACAGAGACGGTCACCGACTGGTGTCATCTTGTGGCTGGGGAGGTTCCGGTGGGGGCAAAGAGAGGTGCGTGGAGAGGCGGCCACGAGCTCTTCTCCTGGCTAAGCTCCCACTGCAGCTGCTTGTAAAGCTTTTTGGATGCCTTCTTGCGTCGCAGCTTCCGGAAGCCGTTCAGCAGGCCGTGGTCCAGGCCCACCTGTGGAAGAAGCAGAGCAGGAATGGGTGACACACGGATCCGACTGCCAGACAGCCCGCTGCTCCAAGGAAGCCCGCCGCAGATGCTCAGCTGCTCAACAGTCCCATTTCCCAAGCCAAGCCTGGCCCAGCCACAGAAAAAAAGGTCTTGGCTCGGCTTTCACAGAAGACTGCAACGAACCACTTCTGCTGCCTTGGACCACATCTTAAAAAGTCTGCTTTCCCAGCTCCGTTACTCCTTTCTTACCTCCAGCACGAAAGCCACGAAGAAGTGGAGAGCAGCCATTCCCAGCAAGATCACTTTGAAGCTCAGGTCACTGGGGCTCTTCAAACGCAGGAGCTTTTGCATGAAGGCCAGCGGAAAGACGGTCAGCCAGATCATGAAGCCAGTGAGCAAGAGTAAGGCAATCAAAAAGGGCACTGGGGAGAGAGAGACACCGAGACAAGGCTTGGGCGCGGGGCCAGGCAGAAGAGGGGCTGCCCGAGAAAAACCGGTCTGACCCGTCCCGGGCCTCCTCTTGACAGAGCTGCTGTGCAGAAGCACTTACCGTTGGTATAAAGCGGCTTGCGGAAAGGTCGGCCTTTGGACACGACCACCGCCAAGATGAGATACTGGAACCCCGAGGTGCAGAAGATAACCGTGTTCTCGTAATTTGGCAGGTTTGCGGGGGCGGACAGAGTGCTGTTCAGAGGGGTGAACCTGAGAGGGAAGTAGACAGGTGGCTGAATCTGGGCTGGCGGCAACCTTGCCCGTCCCCACCCGACTGCAGAGGCCGACCCACGGCAGGCTGAGCTAGTCCAGGAACCAGCCTCCGCAGGGCCGAGTATAAAAGGGCCAGAGAGATGGAGCTACTGGCCTTCTTCCTCGCTCCTCACTCACCACTGCTGGGAGATGGTGATGAAGTAGACGATCACCAGGACGGCCACGATGAGAGCCGTTTGGAGGCAAAGACTGCCCAGGACGGCGAGGCTGATCAGGGCTCCCTGCGGGCGCCGGAGACCCAAGTCCTCGGCAGGCTCGGTCTTGCCCATGAGAGCGACCATCGTGGTGGTGATGATGAGATCGGTGAACAGGAACTGCCCGTCGCTCAAGTTGGTGTTGATCTAGACAAGGGGAAGGGAAGGAGGGAGGGAGGGACAGAAGAAATGGAGAGATGCAGTGACCCGCCTTCTCTCTCCATTTAGAAACTGCTACTTTAAGCCCCAATTCCCTTATTCCTCTGCGTGCATTTTGTTTTACCCGGGTAGGGCTTTGTCACTTTATGTAGTTCCCGTACCTGATGCCATCCCTTGGGCAAATCCTACACCTGGCGCTCGGGTTTCTAGACCTCACTGCTTGCGACCTTCACCCTGGACTCTGAAGAGAGTCTGTGAGCCGAAAGGGCAGGAAGGAAAATGGCCATCTTACCGTGTACAGCAGGAGCACGGAAACAAATTGCGTGAGGCTGTAGAAGGCCATGTATTTGAAGAGGCCGAAGGAGGTGACCAAGGAGCATCTTCCTTCCCTAAAGACGAGAGAGAGCGGCCAGTCACCCTTCTGGGAAAGCAGGGATTGGGGTCGCGGGGTGAAGGAGCTCAAGGGAGGAAAAATGCTTTACTCAGAAACTTCGTCCCAGGCAACGAACACTTTCTTTGCGAACGGGTGTGCCTTAAACACGGTGTCTTTTACTGAATGTCCCCAAGAAGCAACTCAACCCTGGACGCTGCCCAGAGACCTAGGGCAAAATTGGGGGGTGAAGAGGGGGACTGATAGCTGCAGGAAGACCTGAAGGCTTCATTTCACCTAGGATCAAAACGGCTGAAACTCCACCCCAAGCTGAGGCCACTCTGGGAATGGAAACCTGGACAGATACCACAGAGGGAGAAGGATTCCCCTCTTCCTACTTCTGGGGGAAAAGATAAGCCTGGATCCCTGACAGAGGGGACTCCCACTGCTTAGCCGGGAAGATGGTCAGTGCAGCTTACGGCAAAAGGGGCAGGATTTGAATTTCCCTCTCCCAAAGAGGTCAGCAAGACACACACACCCCAGCCTCTTCAGGAAGAGCAGAACCTGGATGGGAGAAAGGGGGGCCATCAATTCTGCGACTGGCAGTCCATCCCACCTACCTAATGGTGATGGGGACGCACTTGATATTATCCATCTGGGAAGTGAATGGTGCTGCCGCCGAGGCCTCCGCTTCGGAGAGCGAGATGCCCACATCGGCTGCCTTCAGAGCCCCACAGTCGTTGGCCCCGTCGCCACACATCGCCACGCAGTAGCTGCAGGCAACACAGGCAGTCGTTCTTTAAAACGGAAGACCAATTCCCACCCACCTTGCTTTTTTTTTTTCCTCCCCCCAAAAAAAAGGGTGTGGAAGGGAAGAGCCGGTCTTTAGTACTCTTAGTATTTTTCAGCTGCAATTTCTGCTGCTTCCCCCTTCTCTCCAAATGCAACGCTGATGCTGGCTGCTCTCGATCTCGCAGGCCAGGTCCTCCCTCCCAAACTCTGAAGCTCCCAGGTGTTAGGTTTGCAAGAGGGGGGGCCTGTTCGGGACCAGATCCTTCCCGTGCTTTCACACCTTCTTTTTTGCTCTCTCCACTCCACCCAGAGGGACGTGGGGAAATCTCGCCTCCAGCCCCCATACTTACTTCAGCTGCTGCAAATGCTCGACCAAGCGAGTTTTCTGATCAGGTAACATCTGTGCGAAAATAGTCGTTTGGACTAATATCTGCAAAGGACAGCAAGGGGGTGTGTGTGTGAAGAGAGAGAGAGCTGTGCCTTTGCTTCTCTGGAAATAGGGAACAACTCGGACAATCGGGAGCTGTTGTGGCCACTGAGAAAGAGGAGCCGCGAGATAGAGAGGCCGGCTCTGCTTAGGTGCCGAGCGGAGGCCCAGCTCGACTCTCCCCATCAGCCTGATGCCGTAAGGCAGGCTGGTCATGAGAACCCTGGGAGAAGGCCAGGAACAGGCGCGTCCCGCTAAAAGGGACGGCTGGTCTGAGGAAACCGGGGACGAGTGGACCAGCTCATCTCCCTCTTGGGTGTTACCTTGGGCAGGAGGGCTGGGAAGCACTCGCAGAGGACCGCAAAGGATTTCCCGTTCAAGGCGAAGGAGGACGGCTGCTGTTCCTGGAAGTCGCCGTCTTGGCGGTGGGCACCCTGCAACGGTCCCGCAGCCGGTTGGATTTTTCATCCGTGCTTGGCATCCCGCGCCAGCAGGAGCCTGCTTTGGGTAGGGCTTCCTCTTCCCCCTCCCTCCCTCCCTTCCTCATGTTACACCGGACACCTCCCCTTTCTGTCTGGAAGGAAATACTAGCTGGGGCTGGGCACGACCCATCGACAGTCAGCTCAAATGGGAGAGACTATGTCAACCATCCCACTCAGTCAGCTAGCAAAGAAACGACTCCTGGCCGTTTGGTTTTGCCAAGAGTATACTTTACCGAAGCCAGGAGTATACTTTACCCCCTCCTCTCCGGCCATCCCCCCGTTATCTGTAAATGTCCAATTAGGTCAGTGGTGGCGAACCTATGGCACGGGTGCCAGAGGTGGCACTCAGAGCCCTCTCTGTGGGCACACGTGCCGTTGCCCCAGCCTTGCCTCCCCCCATGACCCCCTCCTCTCCAGCAGCCCCCCTGAAGGAGAGTCACCCTTGAGCGTGGCCCATGCGGAGTAGCACAGCCAAGGACATGGCAGCCAGGCAGCGTAACAAGACTCTGCCCTCACACCCCATCATGCACAATTGATGCTGCAGGGTACGGGCAGAGGGCGTGACTGCCATAGCGCTGCTGGGCTGCCTGGCGATCTGCAGCAGGCCCTGGAGGCGGTGAGTGGCCCTGTGGGCAGGCGGGGCGGAGGATGCGGGGGCGGAGAGGGGGCGGGGCAGGGTGTGGAGTGGGAACAGGGCCAGTTTTAGGGCACTCGGTCTCTAAAAGGTTTGCCATCACTGAATTAGGTGCTTGTATATTGTTTAGGAAACAGGCTCTCGGTTCCCAGTTCTGCACATTACTTGACCTTGGCTGGCTGTAGCTGCTGACACAGATCAGTTTGGGCTTCCACCACCCCCTCTTTCTTCTTTAAAAGTCCCATTGTTCCCTCCCCCGCTCCTGCCTTTGCTAATGTCAGGCTGTCAGCTCTTGAAGCTTGGATAGTAGAGATGCAACTATGACAAGCTGACTTCCCCCCAAAGACAGCCACGGTCAGGGAGAGTTCTGACCTTGACCTGCTCCGAAGAGACATCGGAAGGAGTGAAGGTGAGGGCAGCTTGCTTGCCGTGGCTGGGCGGCGCAGCATTCACGAACACCACCCGCTCCTGCGCCTCCAACATTTGGCAGCTCCTCGCCACGTTCACTGCAGTGAGCATGTTGTCCCCTAAAGGCAAAAGGAGATCTGAGCCCAGCCGCCCATCTCGGCTAGAAGCCACCGACGTTCCTCCCCGCCATTCAAGGCCTTGCAGGCAGAAGAGAATCCTCTCTCCCAGCTTTCCCAGCCCCTTCCCCTGTTTTTTTCACCTGTGACCATGACGGTTTGGATCCCCGCACTGCGCAGCACACGGATGACGGGTGCCGTCTCGGGCTTGAGGACGTTCTTGAGGACCAGGAGCCCAAGGAAGATCATGTCCGCCTCCACCCAGTCTCTGCCCAAGAAGGAAGCGTCCGTCAGCTGGCCTTGCCAGGATCCACTGCATCATTGCAGTGCCAAAATCCAGCACAAAGCCTGTCTGCCCAGCCTCTGCCTGGGTGCACCCAGAGAAGGGCCATTCGCTCTTCGTCAGTTGATTGCAAGGTCTTTCCTCAATATAAGCTAGCTCAGTGATGGCGAACCTATGGCACGCGTGCCAGAGGTGGCACTCAGAGCCCTCTCTGTGGGCACGCGGACCATGTTCCGGAGATGGCAACTGTCCCTCTTCAACGAACCGCCCGCTAACTCGCTGAGGTCCCACATGGCTGGATGCATCCCAGCACCCATGCACTCGCTGGCCTCTGTGTGCAGGGGCTGATGGTGTCAGGCAGCAGCTGCCCCGGCCCCTGCCTCGCCTTGCCCTGCGACAATGGCACTCCCACCCTGCCTCCCCTTGCCTCGTGAGCCTCCTGCCCACTGCTCCACCTGCCAGAGACCCCCTGGATCTCCCCCAACCCTGCTCGGCCCCCACAGGCGTCCCTCCCCACGAGCAACATCGAGCTGGCCAAGCCCACCCTGGCCACGCCCACCCAATCTGCCATGACCACCACAGCCACGCCCACCCAGTGGGCCATGACCACCTGGCACCCGGCGATAAATAAGTGGGTTTTGGGTTGCAGTTTGGGCACTCGGTCTCTAAAAGGTTCGCCATCACTGAGCTAGCTCTGCTTGCAACGAACTCCCATCCACCGTCTTTGTCACGTTTTCCCAGGTATCCCTCATCCCACCTTTGCATTTGATCTCTTCCGTCTCACCCAAGCGAAAAACTTGACATTTCTCCCCATTCGTCGGTGAATTTCTCTAACAAAAATCTTGTCGGATTCCGCTGCTCCTGCCCAACCCATCCAGGTGAGCCATGTAAGCGATAAATTGTCCCCTCTATCAACTTTTCATCATGTAATAACATTAACGAGGACGCCTCTGTCTGTTTGGCCAGGGACGAACGAGGAGCAATCGATGTGGCTTCCGTGCCATCCCACGCTCAGTGACCTCGGACATTAAAACTGCTACCGGTATTTTAATATTTTGCTGAAGTCAAGAGTGCTTGATCTGGGTCTTCTCGTCGTCTCCTAAGAAGGTCACCCCAAAGAGTAAAATAACGAGTCTGCCGGGGAGAAACCTGGAAGCCGGGCTGGTAAGAAGGAAGCGCAAGGACCTGTCTGTCCACCCACCTGGTCACCTCCTGGGCTTCTTCAAAGGTCCCCACGGCCACCGAGGGCTTGTAAGCCAGCCCCAGAACACGGAACCCGCTGCTTGTGAACTGGTGCAGCTGCTGGGAAAAATCCTGCGGGACTGCAAGGCAAGAGGGGAGAGCGGCCTTTAGAAGAGCAAGACATGGACTCTCAAAGCATGAGAAAGACCCTCCCCTTGCTCCCCTCATACGCCCTTGAAGGGGACGTGCCGGATCCCTCGCTCTCTGAGGGAAAGCGATGCTGAGCCTCCCAGGGACTCCGTAGCCAAATTTCCCACTTCAGAACAAAGCAAACCATACAGTGGCAAGGGTTAAGCGGGGAGCTAGTTGGGGGCAAGGGCAAAGACCTGATTCTCTCTTGCAGAGACTGGCCACCGTCTCCGGTGCTCCCTTCATGAAAGCCTCCACGGGGCTGTTGCCGGGAGCCTTCCCCAGAACGCACATCCTTCGCAGAGCTGACGAAAACGGGAAACGGCGGAGGACAGCCATGGGGACGGGGGGCTTCTGTGGAGGAGAGGTCACAACTGAGCCCCCGGAAGCAGCCAGGATGGCTCCTCTGTGACGCCGCAGCTGAAGCGGCTGAGAGGAATTCTTTGTGCAGGGTGCCATCTGCATTGCGCTCAGCCACTGCCGAGGAAGGCTGCGTGTCAGTCCCTCTCCCCCGCCGCGAGGAAGGATGGAGCCTCACCGTGCTGGGGAGCTGCTCTCTCAGCCGCGGGGGAGTCATGACGAGCAGAGCTTGGGTCCCAAAGTCCTGGTCTAGGCAGGCCTCCACCTCTGACCCTTTGGTTTCTACCAGAGACTGCAAGAAGCAAAGAGAGGGCTGTGAAGAGCAGCCGCTCTGCCCATCGAAGGGAGCTGCCTTGTCCTGCGGGAAACATGGCTGATCCCAGTTTAAACCTCAGCCATGGGGAACAGGGCTTAGCTTGGCAAAGATGACCAGAAAAGACAACAACTAAAACTGATGGACACTGGGTTTGGAGTCACGTATGATGCCGGTCTTTGGATTCTGGGGGACACTGGTTCTTCTCCCTTCTGGAAAGGGAATCACCCCCTCCCCTTTTGACCCATTTCTGACCATGTAGGACAGACATGTCAAACACAAGGCCCGGGGGCCAAATGCGGCCCGTGAAGTAGTTTCATGTGGCCGGCGAAGCCATCCTGGAAACAGTGAGGGAACGGCCCCCGCTGCCTTGGCCCTGGCCCAGGCCGGCCGGGAGCCAATGTACAATTTTGTGGTGGCCATCTATGCTGAAACACATTCAGTCTTAGCTCCACAAGGCCGTCCGGAAACAGCGAGGAACCAGCCCCTGCCGCGTCAGCCCCGCTCCCTGGGTGCATGCTGGGGAAGCGTCACCCTTTGTGAGGAATGAAGAAATGGACCATGCCTTGGCGCTTGCCCCGGTCCCACCCCCTTCTGCCAGAGACCCTCAGATCTGTCCCACTCTTGCCCAGGCCCCGACAGGCACCCTTGACGCGAACGATGTAGAGCTGGCAACGCCCACCCAGTAGGCTGCACCCACCCTGACCACACCCACCTGGCCCCCCAAGGGCAACCGCAATGCTGATGCGGCCCTCAATGAAATTGAGTTTGACACCCCTGATGTAGGAGAACCCTGGAAATGGCATCCGTGTTCCCTAAACAGAGGCACGTTTCTTTCTCACCCATCCAGTAGACTCCAACATCCGGAGATCCACCGGGTCCCCTATAGGCAGATCTCCAAGCAGAGAGAGGGTGTGGCAGGTGGCCAGGCAGCGAAGCAGCGGTCCGTCAGCCAGACGGCAGAGGTCATGAACGATGGGGAGGAAAGAGCTGCTGGCCTGGGGGACGACGCCCCAGATGTCCATGCCGTCAGCCGTCAGGGTCCCTGTCTGGAAGGGAAACCCCAACCAAGTAAGAGTCGGCTAAGATCCTTGGGTCGGGCAGCCCAGGACCCCAGCACTCTTCCCGGGCTCTCACCTTGTCGAAGCAAACCAAGCGCACCTTCCCACAGAGGTCAATGCGTTGTGGACTGACGCAGAAAATGCCCTGGCGTTTCAGCCGGCTTTGAGCGTACATGGTGCCCATGGTCATCGCCGCTGGCAAGGCTGGGGGAACAACCACCGTCACGATGTCCAGAGCACGGATGACGAGCAGCCACTGGGAAACCTGCCAACGGTGGCCTCGTGAGAAACAGACTGGCACAACGGCTTTCCAACTAGCCAGGAAGCCAACAGAGACTGGAACAGGATGACGTTAAGATTCTTGGTGATGTTCAGTGGCCAAGCTTCCAGATGGGGGAAGGTCAGCCGGGTCCAATCTCTTTGAGCCGGCCTTGCACCCAGACCTGCTGCCCAGGCTGACTCCACACGCCCCCAAAAGCAGAGACCCGAGGAGTGGCTGGCCAAAGAGGCCACTGGTTGAAGGCATTTGGTCACCCTGCATGTTCCAGGGCAGAGAAACTTAGTAGTTCTCTGCTGGAGACCTGGGGGGGGAGGTGGTGGTGAGAGAGACTCCAAGCCCCCAGGCACTTACCTGGTTCCTCTTTAAGATGATGATGCTATAGACGGTTCCACCAATGGCTGGAAGAAAGAGAAATAAAAGTCTTGGGACCCTGGCAAACCAGGCTGAGCGAGTATCAGAGGAGTCCGCAGAAACCCACAAGGAGAGAGCGGCATTCTCGGAAGGAGGTCAGCCAAAGAGCTTACAATTAGACAAGGACCCACAGAGGTGGCCAGAGGTGGCAGGGCCCAGCTGAGCTCCTCAGCTGTGTAGAGGCAGGAGATGTTTTGGGGCCACCTGGGATCTGCTATGGACCAAGAATGGTTTCTATTCCAGCTCTTGCTGATTCAACAAGGCCACCCCAGCAGAACGAATCAACCAAAGATGTACAAGGGCCAGCAGAGCTCCAAATGTGCTGCTGGAGAAGGAGATAATGGCAGCTTTCTGCCGTTCCCAAGTACCACCTGTAACTATGCTCTGTCCAAAACAGGCTCCACTTGCACATCCCTGAACGTTTTGGCTCAAACCAGGGATAGTGATTAAGCACCCTCAACCGGCCCTGACTCTTGATGGAAGCACTTTGAGCCCATGGCAGATGGTCTCTTTCCCGTGTCCAAAACCTTAACTCTACAAGCGACGGTGCCTTTGTCACTTTGGATATCGCGTGCGAACTTACCCAAGATCGCGAGGAAGGTGACAAACTTCCAAGCATCGTTATGGAATCGGAGCTTCAATGGCTTGGAGTGAAGGATGGAGCTGATGAGATCCCCTTTGGCTGTGTAGAAGCCTGGAGGAAGAAGAGGGAGGGAGGGAGACAGCAAGGCTGGCGTGAGACCAGGGATGCAGATGCTGCAGGAGACTGGACAGCCTCCACACTGGCTGGGGAGAGAAGCAGCACCACCCCGAAATGCCCTCACCAATGCGGGTCACAACTGCCAGGATGTCAGCGTCTCCGTAGGATCGCGCCTGGATGACTTGTGTCCCGCAGAACAGGGTGTGTCGTTTGTGATCTTCGGGGGAATAGATGGCACTGGCTTCTTCCGGGCCTTTCGACAAAGGGGTCTTCAGGACCGGCGTGCTCTCCCCTGGGAAAAAAACAGACGGCTTGGTGGGGAGCGTCAAGAAAAACCTGAAAGCAGCCAGGTCAGGGTGCCATTGGAGTCTCCGCAAGCAGGAACATGCCAAGCATTTGATGGGGGGTCCAGGCAGGCAGGTGCTGCTGGGGGCTTTAAAACAGACATGTCAAACACAAGGCCCAGGGGCCGGATGTGGCCCGCGAAGTGGTTTCGTGCGGCCCGCGAAGCCATCCTGGAAACACTGAGGGAACAGCCCCTGCTGCCTTGGCCCCGGCCCAGGCCGGCCGGGAGCCAATGTACAATTTTGTGGTGGCCATCTTGGCACTTGCCCCACTGGACCATGCCTTGGCACTTGCCCCGGTCTCACCCCCTTTTGCCAGAGACCCTCAGGTCTGTCCCACTCCTGCCCAGGTCTCCCACAGGCACCCTTGACGCGAATGATGTAGAACTGGGCACGCCCACCCAGTAGGCCACACCCACTCCATCTACGCCCACCCAGTAGGCTGCACTCACTCTGGCCACACACGCCCGGCCCCCCAAGGGCAACCGCAATGCTGATGCGGCCCTCAGTGAAATTGAGTTTGACACCCCTGCTTTAAAACAACGACCAGCCTAGGCTTGCCCAAGTTCCCCCTGCTGGCTCACCAGTCAGAAGGCTTTCGTTGACCACACACTCGCCGTTGAGCAGGGCGGCATCACAGGGAACCAGCATCCCCTCTGGAGAGACCACCAGGACGTCTCCTGGCACGAGATCCACGGAACTCACCACCACTCTCTCTGGTAGCCAAGAAAGGAAGGAGCTCAGAACGTGCCCCCCACTCTTCCAACACGGAAGGCCTGGGTGGAGAGTTGGGCCAGGCCCTCCTTGGCCATGGAGGGGCATCTCCCTTCTCCAGCTTCTCCTGGCAGGGAGGATGTTGGCTTCTTGAGGGCAGTGGAGTCTGACTGTCCTGTTTTGGGCGCCATAATCTAGAGGGAGCAGGTGCTTAAAGATGGTGCCCGAGTTCCTAGCTGTGGCTGCATGTGGCTCTCGGGAGCAAGAGGCTACTTGGGCGTGCCTTGTCCTTGACACACACACCCTGAAGGAACCAACAAAGAATGCATGCAGCAGGAAGGAGCCCAATCTAGCAGAAAGACGCCATGACATGCAGAACGAGGGAAACTATTCCAGTGGATGACCCAGTTGAGGAAGAGAGTCCGTTTATGAGTCCAGCCTTCAGGCTGGAGCTGCTCTTGAGATCTACCGGGCTACTGCCCGGGTGGTCACCACGCATTTGCTCACCTCCAGAAGGTCGGCAAATCTGCACGCTGGTCACCACTTTGGCCATGTCCCGGAGAGTCCTGTTTTGCTGAAGGAACCAAGGCCTTTGTCAACGCAGCCCCAAGGGCAGAGCAGCCGCGCCTCTGGGGCACCGCCAGCCCCTTGTTCCCGCCGCGGCGGTGGGCTTGAGGGGCAGGGTGGATGCGCCAGTTGAGCGGGGAGGGGGAAAGTTGGGGCCAGGGCCCACCTTTTTGGTGACGTAGAGAGAGAGTCCGATCGAGATGGTGGAAATGATGAAGATGCAGATGGCGTAAGAGTAATATTCTTCGCAGATCCATAAAGTGATGCTGAACACTTGGAAAAAGTAGAACAAATTCAAGATCTGCAAAGGAGAACAAGGGTACGCTTAGCGCTTCGTCGGTACTTCCGCCTTCATTGATTGGGTCTCTGCAGAGCCTCCCCCTCCCCCAGCCAATGAACTCCCAGGGGGCCTATGATTCAGAGGAGAGGCTGGGAAGCCCCTCCCTCCCTTCCTTGAAGGTTCTGCAGAGGGGCTTCAGAACGACAGGACCCCTTCCGAAAGGGACCAGAATAGCACTTATATGCCGCTTCACCGTGCTTTACAGCCCTCTCTAAGCGGTTTACAGAGTCAGCCTATTGGCCCCCAACAATCTGGGTGTTCTCATTTTACCGATCTCAGAAAGATGGAAGGCTGAGTCAAACCTTGAGCCGGTCAGGATCGAACTGCCGGCAGTGGGCAGAGTTAACCTGCAATGCTTCATTCTAACTTGCTCTTGCGCCAAAAGAGTTCACAGATGTCCCTTTTATTTTTTAATCTTTCCTCTTCGCGGCTTCTTAATTTAATTGACGTGGGCCGACCGGATTTGCTGAGAGTCAGGTGGCACACAAGTGTAATCCCTTATTATTATTCCTGTTCTCCGTGTTTCAGAGGCAGGCGGAAGCGGGAGCCGCTCTGCATTGTTCAGACCAAGGGGAAGAGCCCAGCGACCGGCCCTTCCTTGCTCGCTCGCTCGTGTTGCTGAAGACGGGCCAGGCTGCCGGCTCAACCGCAGGCCGAACCGGGGCTCACCTCATCCATCAGCAGCCGGAAGTAGGACTTCACCGGCACGTCAATCAGGTTTGGGCCGTAAATCATCTTTCTGTCAAAGAAGGGGCAGGGTACAAGGGGTGCACAGTTTTAGGAAAGCTGTAGTCATCCGAAAAGCCCAGCTAGTCAGGGACTTCAGGAATCAGAGCTTCGGGGTAGAAAAGGCAGACTCCCCCCATCAGCCTCGCGCTACTTTGATGTGTTTAAACATAAGATTGTGTGGAACTAGACTGTTGTTTCTCCGTCTCCTAAAATACATGTGGGCGTATGGATAATTCTGCGTTTATTTTTTGTCATATTTACGCGGTGTACATCGGAGGGGGTGACCCTTTGAGAGCTGCGTGCCACGAAATGTCATTTTAGCGTATGCCGATTAGTGTGCATGCAAAGTGACAATAAAGTTATTGTTCTGTTCTGTGGCGGAGGAGATATTTGCTAGTCAACAGCCGGCTCTTACGGCCCTCGGTGTGAAGAGTTGGCTGGCTTGACTTCCCTGTAACGCTTCCCTGAGGCAGGGAGTGAGACCACGCCAGTCCCCTCCGAGCCTGCTGTTCCCCATAGCCGTGCTGGGAAAGGGAGGCCACCGACGAGAGGAGACTGCTGGATTTTGTGCATCTTTGATTGAGAGATGTTAAGTCTCTTTAAAAGCGCTCCTTTTAAACTGGGTAGCAAGCAAGAAGGGAACGAGGGGCGGTGGTCTTGCAAGATCTTTTTTTCCCTCCCCCCCCCCACTGCTTATTAAATTTAAGATTTTAAGGTGCTTGAGAATTATTAGAAAATACGAATACTATTATTGCATTATGAACTTGTTGATGTAGAGGGTGAGAACTCATATAGATAGGATGTGTGCCCTGAATATTAGACTTTGGGAGGAATGGCGATAAAGGGATTGGGGTCATCTAAAGTGTGGAAATGGTCGGTTGCTGGAATTGGGGATGTCTAGTTTAATGAAGAGAAGGACGAGGGGTCACATGATAGCAGTCTTCCAGTATCTCAGGGGCTGCCCCAAAGAAGAGGGAGTCAAGCTATTCTCCAAAGCGCCTGAGGGTAGGACAAGAAGCAACGGATGGAAACTAACCAAGGAGAGAAGCAACCTGGAACTAAGGAGAAACTTCCTGACAGTGAGAACAATTAACCAGTGGAACAACCTGCCTCCAGAAGCTGTGAATGCTCCAACACTGGAAGTTTTTAAGAAGAAACTGGACAGCCATTTGTCCGAAATGGTATAGGGTTTCCTGCCTGAGCAGGAGGTTGGACTAGATAACCTCCAAGGTCCCTTCCAACTTTATCATTATTATTACTATTATTACGAATGGAAAATTAAAATGGAGAAAAATTGATTAGGTCTAATTGATTGTCTAAAGACTTGAACATTAAAACAACTAAGATATATGTTCCCTAAAAATGATTGATAAACGTTAGAAAGTTACTTTCTATTTGACCGACAGAACGAGAATTGTATTAGTTAAAATATACAGTAGATATTAAGGGAGGAAGAGAGGGAATGGGGATTGTAACAGTTTGAGATGATAATAATAATAGTAAAGTTGGAAGGGACCTTGGAGATCATCTAGTCCAACCCCCTGCTCAGGCAGGAAACCCTATACCATTTCGGACAAAGGGCTGTCCAGTCTCTTCTTAAAAACCTCCAGTGATGAGGGAGGGAGGGAGGAAGGAAGGAAGGAAGGAAGGAAAGGAAAGGAAAGGAAAGGAAAGGAAAGGAAAGGAAAGGAAAGGAGGAAAAAAGAATAGCAGAATAAACAGAGCTGGAAGGGATCTTGGAGGTCTTCTAGTCCAACCCCCTGCTCAGGCAGGAAACCCTACACCATTTCAGACAAAGGGCTGTCCAGTCTCTTCTTAAAAACCTCCAGTGTTGGAGCATTCACAGCTTCTGGAGGTAGGTTGTTCCTATACTAACGATATCCATGTGTAATAGAATTATTGTACCCAGCCACCACGTTGCTTCCAAATATTTAAATGTAATATTAGAAAATCAATAAACATTTACAAAAAAAAGAGATCTTTTTTTCCCCAAACAATTCCCTCCCCCCCCAAATTGGGATACTAAAGAAGGCCTAGAGAAGGGAAAGGGAGGGACGTGCCTGGCAGACTGTTCCTGGACGCTTAGACCACGGCAGGAGAGGTGGAGATCGGAGCACGTCCAGTCTTCATTCAGCGTGCTGCAAAACACAGAGAAAGAAAGGGGTGGATTGTCTTTTTTGGGGGGACGGATCAAAATCTGAAGGCTCGGAGGCCGGCTAGGCCAGCCAGGACTGTCCAGGTCGACCGCTACGGCCGTGGGAAGCGTTCTGCAGAGAGGCCGCGGGAGAGCACACCTCACCTGGCCCTGCAGTAGGCCTCTCGCCTTTCCACCCAGAGGTAGCGCACACCTTCGAAGGAGTAGTAGCGCAGAACGTTCTTCTGAAGAGGAGAAGAGAGAGAGAGGGGCGAGTTATCTACGCCTCCAAAGTGGCGGCAGCACCAGCAGCAGAGAGAGCGGCTTCCTCTGCCTAGCCTGCTTCGTGCCACGGCGGGGACGGCATCCGTGCCGCAAGAGGACTGGGTGACGTGCCCCTTTGCAGTGTGCAGCCTAGCCAGGGGACCCCGTCGGCGAGCCGGCGAGAACGGAGCCAGGCTCATCCATCCCAGGGTGCTGACCTCTTCTTTCTGGTGCAGCCATATTGTGTCCTGTCTTCCTGTCTGGTCATCTGAAACGCCCACGGCGATAGCGCTTCTCCCCTCGTCGGTTCCGGACTCCGGGCTTCCCAGGAAGAGAGAGGAAAGGACAAGACATTTTGGGAATCAGGACGGTGGACCCCTGTTCTTTAAGAGGCGGCTCCAGAGCTGGCGAGGGAGGTCAGGAGCAAGTGCCAGGTGTGGGGGAGGGGGCAGACCATCCCTCCTCTTACCTGCGCAGAGCACCTGGTCAGCCTCCCTCTTGGCAGAAGACCCCCTCTCTCTCCCAGCCACTGACGTTCCCCCACCTTTTGCCAATCAAGGAAATGTACACGAAGCACTGCTCACCTGCCATCCTCTATCTGCTGTGTTTGGACCCTGGATGCGAAACACCGTCCTGGCTGATCCTGCAAGAAGAGGGCGGGAACAGCTGACGGGCGGAAGAGCCAGTGGCTTTGGAGCGAGGAGGAGATGGGTCCAAAGCCATGGGAGCTGCCAGGGCCACCCGGGTGCCCACTGCAGCGCCCGAGCCAGCTGGGGCCCTCCTGCCGCGGCGCTTACGTGGATGAGCACCCAGTCCGCCTGGCGCAAGGGGCAGGGCGTGCATTTGGCGTAGATCTCCAGGTGCGGCTTCCAGTGGAAGATGGCCAGGGGGAGCCCCAGAGTGAGCACGGAGACGGAGTGGCAGACCAGCGTCTTCCATGTTTTTCTCTGGTAGCCCTTCACTTCCTGAGGAAGGAAGAAACGCGGGATGGGCAGGAGAACCCGGGCAGGCGTTCCCTCGCCCACAGCCTCCCCTTAAGGACAGGCCCCGTTGGACTAATCCTGAACCTAAAGAGAGCGGAGGACTTTGGCCACCTCGCTACGGGACACCGCAAGGGCGCTTCCTGGTAAAACACCTCCACGCCCAGCCATCGTGAGTCACAGTTTTATCCCTTCTGGATTTCTTAAACCTCCAGGATACAAAAGACTTAAGATAAGAGCAAGTTTATCTCGTTTCCTCATGAGCCTCCCCTCAGATGTCCTCTTCATTCACCACCTTTCGCCAAAGCGGACGAGTGTCCGCAGAAGCATCCCGCTTTGGAACAGCCCTCTTCCAGTTCCTGGTACCCACTACCGCACTGACTCTCTCTCTGTCCTTTCATTTTCCCCCCTCGCATCCCCCCCCCAATCTGGAAACTCCCTTCTTACCGTAGAGGATTTGCAGGGACTCTGCTCCAAAGAATGGTAATTCAGCTGCTGCTCTCCGGACAGGCTGCTATTACCTAAGAAAGGAGAGGAAGCAAAAAATCTCACCAGCGTGCAAGAGTGAGCTCAGGAGCGTGAGACTAGAGACTTTCGGACGGGAGAGTCCTGCCTAAAACACCTCTGCTTCCTCGGGGTTTGTTGAACTTCAGCTCCGAGGGGGCAAAGCGGGGCCCTGGCGGTCGAGGGAAGAGGCCAACGGTTTGAAGACAACGAGCCGCAGAGGAGCTCCGTCGCCATTCCATCGCCAGTGTGAAGCATGTCAGTCGCAAGTGCAGAAGAGTCCATTTTCCCTTCAGCTTTTGGGGGGCAGAATCCAGCCTTGCTCCCCCACGGCTGAGCCGTTCCTGCAGGGCGCCTTGTCTGTGCCTGGGCTCTGTGTGAGTAAGCGCCATCTCACTTGCCCCCTTTGGGGTTAGAGCGAATGCAGTTTGGCATAGAGATGCCTACATTAGGGGTCCCCAACCCCTGGTCCATAGACCGGCACCGGTCCGCACAAACAAGCAAAACTCCATCCTCGGGAGGCAGGCAGCGTTCAAAACCACGCCCCCTCTGGTCCACGGAAATACCTTTCGACATGGCACCGGACCCTGGTGCCCAAAAGATTGGGGACCTCTGGGCTGTATGTTGTCATGTTTAAAGGGCCAGTTGAGCTGAAGGTACCAGGTGGAAGATCCTTTCAAGTGTATTTGGAAGAAGGGGGGAAAAGAGGGAATAACAGAGGAGGAGGAGGAAGAGGAAGGAAGGAAGGAAGGAAGGAAGGAAAGAAAGAAAGAAAGAAAGAAAGAAAGAAAGAGGGAGGGAGGGAGGGAGGGAGGGAGGGAAGGAAGGAGTGCTCCCCAAATCAAATAGGGACATATTTTCATGCCCAAGACAGAGTGTTCTCCAACCCATCATAAACAGACTGAGTTTGGCCAGGGCCTCCCAATTTTGGGGCCACCTGGGGCTGGTTGGATCATGGGACTGATCCTGCATCTTGCAGGAGACAGAGAGGGGGGCTGCCCTGCATACCGTAGCAGCCGCTGGATTTTGGCTCCTCCTCCCCTTCTCTTTTTAAGCCCTTTCCCCCCTCTCACCTGGCAAGATCCTGGCGTGCTCGGCAGCCTCCATTGGACCCTCCAGTTTCCCCAAACATCCTCAGGAGAATTTGGGTCTCGGACCCGCCATCGAGAGCTTCAGGGCCAGGGACGGAAGCGGACGGTGGTCACGGTCACTCAGCCACCCATCTCCCGTGCCTGGGAGAGAGAAAATGAGAGCTGGCAGGATGGCAGTCACCGGAAGGAAGGGGGGGGGAGAGGAGGGCAAGGCTTTGGCTGGATCCTCAAGGGAGGCATCCTGTGGCTGAGACAACCCCCCCATGGGAAAAAGAGGGGAAGTGGAGCCCACCCACCCAGGTAGAGCAACCTCGGGGCCACGAAGGCGAAGTGCTCTCCGAGAAGGGTGGAACTCTGTCTCCGGGCAAGGGACTGGCCCAGTGTATTTAATAATAATAATAATAATAATAATAATAATAATAATAATAATAATAATAATAATAATAATAATAAAAAAGTTGGAAGGGACCTTGGAGGTCATCTAGTCCAACCCCCTTTTAATGTTAACTTAAACGTGGGTCCTTCAGGGTTTTTCTGTTGCGGGAAAGCAGGAGCTGAATCCAAAGAGGAACGAAGATCAGGAAAGACATTGAATAGAAAATTAGGTAGAACAGAATAACAGCATGACAGAGTGGGAAGGGACCTCGGAGGTCATCTAGTCCAACCCCCCTTTTAATGTTAACTTAAACGTGGGTCCTTCAGGGTTTTTCTGTTGCGGGAAAGCAGGAGCTGAATCCAAAGAGGAACGAAGATCAGGAAAGACACTGAATAGAAAATTAGGCAGAACAGAATAAATAGCCGACAAGAGTGGGAAGGGACCTCGGAGGTCATCTAGTCCAACCCCCCTTTTAATGTTAACTTAAAACGTGGGTCCTTCAGGGTTTTTCTGTTGCGGGAAAGCCGGAGCTGAACCCAAAGAGGAACGAAGATCAGGAAAGACACTGAATAGAAAATTAGGCAGGACAGAATAAATAGCCGACAAGAGTGGGAAGGGGCCTCGGAGGTCATCCAGTCCAACCCCCCCTGCTCAGGCAGGAAACCCCGCACCATTTCGGACAAAGGGCTGTCCAGTCTCTTCTTTAAAAACTTCCAGAGTTGGAGCATTTTTTTGGGGGGGGATGCAGGGCAAGCCTGGACGGTGTCTCCACCACCCCCCTGGAAAGGAGGAGGGAGGGAGGGGGTCAGCCTCGGGTCTGCAGCAGCCTCCCCCCCCTGCCCGAACCCCCCCTCTGTCCCTGCCAAGAAGCCGCTTCCTCACCTGTCGGGGGGGGGGGGAGGAAATCCAGGCCGCCCGCAGTGCCACGTGTCACCTGGCCGCTTGGAAGAGCCCGGCCTGGGGGAGGGAGGGCGAGGGCGGCCCAAGCCGGTCAAGGCTGCCTTCGCCAGCCAGAGGAGACCCCCGGGGATTCTCCGGGTGGGGGGGAAAGAAGGGGAGCCGGGTCCCCCCGCGGGATGTCCCAAGCGGGCGGAGGGCTCGGCCCGGGATGCGCCGCTCTTCGTCCGCCGCCCGCGGGCTCCAGCAGGTGGACAGCTCCGCTCTCGCCCCGGGGCTGCCGGCCAAGTGGAGGCGCGCGGGGGGGGGGGGAGCGCGGGAGCCCCTGCAGCAGCAGCAGCAGCTGATCCCGGAGGGGGCGGGGCTAGCGCTCGCGGAGGCTGCTGGGAGAAGTAGTCCGAGCCGGCTAAAAAGCCCCCCCACCCCACTCCACCCCTCTCCGAGGCGTGCGATATGGCCCGTCCTGCAGCGCGTTAGCGGAGCGCCGGGCTTGCCTTGTTCCCGTAGGAGCCCTCTATCCCGGTGGTGGCGTTTACGTTTCTCTTCCCTTAAAAAAAGAGGCTGGACAACCGTTTGTCTTGAAATGGTATAGGGTTTCCTGCCTGAGCAGGGGGGTTGGACTGGATGACCTCCAGGGTCCCTTCCGACTCCTACTCTATTCTGCATTCTAGTCTACTCTATTCGTCATTCCTCCTATTATTCTATTCTATTCTCTATTCTATTCCTATTCTATTCTCCGTTCTATTCCTATTCTATTCTGTTCTCTATTCTATTCTATTCCATCTCTATTCTATTCTATTTTCTATTCTATTCTAATTCTATTCTACTCTTTCCATATTCTATTCTATTCCATTCTTTCCATATTCTATTCTTCTATTCTATTCTCTATTCTATTCTCCGTTCTATTCCTATTCTATTCTGTTCTCTATTCTATTCTATTCCATGTCTATTCTATTTTCTATTCTATTCTATTCTACTCCTTCCATATTCTATTCTATTCCATTCTTTCCATATTCTATTCTTCTATTCTATTCTCTATTCTATTCTCCGTTCTATTCCTATTCTATTCTGTTCTCTATTCTATTCTATTCCATGTTTATTCTATTTTCTATTCTATTCTAATTCTATTCTACTCTTTCCATATTCTATTCTATTCCATTCTTTCCATATTCTATTCTTCTATTCTATTCTCTATTCTATTCTCCGTTCTATTCCTATTCTATTCTGTTCTCTATTCTATTCTATGTTTATTCTATTTTCTATTCTATTCTAATTCTATTCTACTCTTTCCATATTCTATTCTATTCCATTCTTTCCATATTCTATTCTTCTATTCTATTCTCTATTCTATTCTCCGTTCTATTCCTATTCTATTCTCTATTCTATTCTATTCCATCTCTATTCTATTCTCTATTCTATTCTAATTCTATTCTACTGCTTCCATATTCTATTCTATTCCATTCTTTCCATATTCTATTCTTCTATTCTATTCTCTATTCTATTCTCCGTTCTATTCCTATTCTATTCTGTTCTCTATTCTATTCTATTCCATCTCTATTCTATTTTCTATTCTATTCTAATTCTATTCTACTCCTTCCATATTCTATTCTATTCCATTCTTTCCATATTCTATTCTTCTATTCTATTCTCCGTTCTATTCCTATTCTATTCTGTTCTCTATTCTATTCCATCTCTACTCTATTCTATTTTCTATTCTATTCTAATTCTATTCTACTCTTTCCATATTCTATTCTTTCCATATTCTATTCTTCTATTCTATTCTCTATTCTATTCTCCGTTCTATTCCTATTCTATTCTGTTCTCTATTGTATTCTATTCCATCTCTACTCTATTCTATTTTCTATTCTATTCTAATTCTATTCTACTCTAAATTTTATTCTATTCTAATTCTATTACAAATTGTGTACCAAATCAAAACAGCCAAGCCGGTATCCTGTGTGGGTCCCGCCCTCATTTTATGTTTGCAACCATGGGTGGTCCTTGTAAACACAGGGGAAACGGCTCTGTTGAATTAATGTCATCTTAATGCCCTAAGCAATTCCCAATTTACTGGCTAACTTGTGATATTCCAACTCTTGCTCCCGCCTTCTTGCAAATGACTACAAAGGGGACGACAGAGAAGGAGGGGGCTGGATGGAGTCACTGAAGCAGCAGGCGTGAGCTGAAATGCTCCAGAAGATGGCAGAGGACAGGAAGGCCTGGAGGAACGTTGTTCAAGGGGTTGTGACACAACTTCGCAGCTAACAACAACAAGACCTTCCCTGCTTTGAACGCCCCTTCCCCTCTCCGAGCGGGGAATGCCTCTCTCTTTACTTGCGTGCATAAATAAAGAGATGTTCATCTACCTTTCCAGATTTGGGCCAGGTGTGCTTTTACGCCGACATTTATGGCTTATCCGCTGTGCATTCAAGAACGTTTTGCTGAAGAAATACAGGCCGTTCATGAACTGAAGAAAAGGAGGGTTCAGTCCAAGGGAAAGTGCAAATGAGCTGCGGTTGAACAACCGGGCTCTCCTGCCTCCTGTCTTAGGCAGCCCCCCCACCTCCCCCCACTCAGGGTGAGGAGCATTTGAAAGACAAGCCTGAACCGAACGGAGAGGGGAAAGGAGAGAGAGAGACAAGGTAGAAAACTGCTTTTTTAATATTTATTTGTCTTTACAGGTTTCACTGTACATGTCCATGCAAGCAAGGCGGAGTCTATGACCCCACTGAAAAACCAGTTATAAGTTAAAGGCCCTCCAGCAGGAAGGCAGGCTGACTGCACACAAGGAAGCCGCTAAGCGTGGGCCACCTTCTCTTTGTACGTGGCCATCATCTTCTTGATTTCTGCGATTGCTTTCCCGGGATTCAGGCCCTAAGGAAGAAAAGACACAGGGGGAGGGGCAATGGTGGTGGGCTCTGGGCACAGCTCTGCAACTGGCTCAGCTCGCCCTCGCCCATTCCCAGCTGGGGAAGCCTGGTCCCAGCACCCACCTTGGGGCAGGTCTGGGTGCAATTCATGATGGTGTGGCAGCGGTAGAGGGAGAAGGGGTCCTGCAGCTGGGCCAAGCGCTCCTCCGTGTAATCGTCCCGGGAGTCGATCATCCAGCGGTAGGCCTGAGGGAGCAGCCACTCTTGGAAAGAACTGCTTTTCCTCCCCCCCTGCCCCCTAGAGCAGAGGCCCACCTCTGCCCTAGGGGGAGAGCCGTCTCCCCAGGGACCCCATTACCTGCATGAGCACGGCTGGGCCGAGGTACTTGTCCCCGTTCCACCAGTAACTGGGACAACTGGTGCTGCAGCAGGCGCAAAGGATGCACTCGTACAGCCCGTCCTGGGAGAGCAAAAGAGAAGGCCTCGTGAGGCCAAGAGGAGGCGGATTCCTGGAAGAGGGTCCACTGGCCTCTCTTTCCCCGCTGGAGAGAAAGCAGCCTCCCTCACCCTGCTTTTCATTAGGCAGCCCCTTTCGCGGTTCGGATGGAACTGTTTTCGGGCTGGCCTGGGGGACCAGGAGGCACTTCGAAAGCCAGCGCTCGCCACGCACTTGGGGAGCAGGACGGGAGGAGGAGAAAGTGCACCCTTATCTATCAATATCTCAGGGGTTCCAGTATCAATATCTCAGGGGTTCCAGTGTTCCAATATCTCAGGGGCTGCCCCAAAGAAGAGGGAGTCAAGCTCTTCTCCAAGGCGCCTGAAGGCAGGATAAGAAGCAACGGATGGAAACTCATCAAGGAGAGAAGCAACCTGGAACTAAGGAGAAACTTCCTGACAGTGAGAACAATTAACCAGTGGAACCACCTGCCTCCAGAAGCGGTGAATGCGCCAACACTGGAAGTTTTTAAGAAGAGACTGGACAGCCATTTGTCTGAAATGGTATAGGGTTTCCTGCCTGAGCAGGGGGTTGGACTAGATGACCTTCAAGGTCCCTTCCAACTTTACTATTATTATTATTATTATTATTATTATTATTATTATTATTATTATTATTATTATTATTATTATTATTATTATTATTAAGAGGTTTTGGTGGGGCACTGAGGAGCTATAACGGCCAGCCAGGAGAGGCGGCAGCTCTCAAAAAATAGCAGTGACTAGACCAGGAAAGAGACAGGAAAGAAACAGCAATGACCAGCTTATCCCGATCTTCTATGGACTGTAAATACTCTTTTCCCTGGTTTGATTCGTCCTTCTTCTTCAGATAAGGCTGGATAGCTTTGTATTGGGCGTAGAAGTTGCTCAGGTCCTGAAGGAAGGAGAACAAACATAGCCTGAGTTTACACCAAGTCGCACCAAGCTCTGATTGAAAGGAAAGAGTTTTGGGAATAATACCAATAGCACTTAGACTTATATACCGCTTCAGAGTGCTTCACGGCCCTCTCTAAGCTGTTTACAGTGTCAGCCTATGGCCCCCCAACAATCCAGGTCCTCATTTGACCGACCTCTGAAGGATGGAAGGCTGAGTCAACCTTGAACGGGTCAAAATCAAACTGCTGGCAGTCGGCAGAATTAGCCCGCAATCCTGTATTCTAACCACTGCGCCACCACGGGCTCTTATGAATGAGCCACGATTGATGATTCACGTAAAAGGTAGCTTACAGGTACAGTAGCTTATACAAACCATGCTAAGCCCAAACCACACAACCCAGCCAGGCTGAGCATGATGAGTGACAGCAGGTATGATTGTGTGGTAGATGATGGTGAAGATTGCCAGGCACAAAACACAACACCCACCTTTCTGCCAGTGCCCTTCTCCCAGCTCCAGGCCCCATCCCAGATATAGAATCCATTGGGGGGGGGAAAGCCCACCCACAGAATCGCCAGGAGCCCCATGAAGAAGCCAGATGACCAGAACAGCTGGCTGACCGGCACTGGAAAAGGTCGCGATCCAGGCTGCCATCCCCAGAAAGAAAAGCAGGCGGAGGGTTGACCGGGCAGGGCCAGGATCTGCAGCTGAGGCTCCCAGTTCAGATACAATCCCCCCCCCCGGTCTCATCTGCCCTGGGGAGGCCATCTACTCCCTGGACTTACAGGCACGAGGTCTTTCACCACATACATGTGAGGGAGAGGATAGATCTTGGTGACCTTGTTGAGGTTGGTGTCGATCCTCTTGGTACAAGCCAGAGTGTTTGCTCCGTTGATGTTCATGGCGCACGAGCCACAAATGCCTGCGGGAGACAGAGACAGAGCTTTCCAAAGAGCAAAAGCAGGATTTTCGGGATGGCGGTCAAACCTACAGCCTCCTCCTCCGTATTCCACGGAGCGTCTACCCTCCGGAGCCGGACGGCAACTCTCACCTTCTCTGCAGGACCTGCGGAAAGTCAGGGTGGAATCCATTTCATTCTTGATCTTGATCAGGGCATCCAGAACCATCGGGCCACATCTGGAACGAGAACCCGCCAGCTGCCAGAAAGAGACACCAGCCCTCCTTTTTTTTTCTTTCTTTCTTTTTGCCCCAAAAAGGGTCGTTTTGCTCCGTTTGCAAAGAGGGAGATTTGCTAACCTACCACGTTGCGGTTCACGTTCAGCCCGGCTGCCTGGGCGCCGGGGAGCCCAGAGGGTCCAGCCTGCCCTGCCCTGCAGCGCTTGGCACCCGGAGCCCCCCCGTCCCTGGGGAAGGGCCACTCACTTCTTGAGGTCCAGCTCGTACGTCTGCATGCGGGGCTTCTCCCCGAGGTTATCCGGGCTCCAGCGGTAAACGGCGAACCTCTTGAGGCAGGGAGACGTCTCCGGGGTCGGCGCTGCTGCTGCTGCTGCTGCCGCCCCGGCGTGAGCTCTGCGGCGGATCTGCAAGCGGGGCAACGAGGCGAGAGGAAGCCAGTGCCCGCCTTCCCCGGCCCGAACCGAGAGGCGGAGAGGCGGGCTCCTCACTGAGGACTAGAAGCGTGAGAAGCCGAGCCCGCACTCGGAGAGCGCCCAACCCCGCCACCGCCACTGCCAACCTTCGTGCCTCGCTCACCTGAAGCAGCGCCGCGCCGCCCCTTCCCCTCGCCGCCCCCCAGCCCGCCGCCGTCCCGATCAGCGCCATCGCGCGCCCTCTGCGTCCTTTCGGGGACTGGGACGCGAGCGGAGGAAGCGGAGGGCAGCTGCTTCCTGTTCTCCCGCGAAGGCCGTCCCCCACTTCCGGTTCAATGCCCTTCCCAGCATGGCCGAACCTCGCTTCCTGTCCTTTCGCGAAAGCGTTCCCCCCGCCACTTCCGGTCCCTCACTGAACTCTTCCCCTCCACCCCAAATGGCCGGGGTTTATTTTCCCGACTCTGCTTCGAGTTCCTGACGTTTCTAAGGCGCCTCTCCCCGCCTTAGTTCGCGCTCCGTCCTCGAGCGCTCTGCGGGGAAAGCCGGGCGCCGGGTCCTGCGATTGCCCGGCTGCGTCCAGCTTCTGCTTTTGCTTCCGCCTTTCATCTCCCTTGGTTTGCTTCTGCTTCGGTCTTTGCTCTTCTTCCTCCGTTTCTGTCTTGTTCTGCTTCTGTCCCAAAGGTTGCTTTTTTTTTCACCAGGCAACTGGACTTCCTTGTTTTTTTCTTTGAAGACGTTTCGCTTCCCCTCCAAGAAGCTTCTTCAGCTCTGACCGGATGGTGGGGAATGGAAGGATTTATACTCTTTGCAGTCATCTGCTGTAATATAAATCCTTCCATCCTCCACCGTTTATACTCCTTGCAGACAGCTGGTCATTTGCATCCTTTTAGAGAGTCGTTGAGGCCACTGTGTCCTCAGGGTCCCCTGTGTGGTGCAAATGGCTGTGGCGCCTTCTTGGAACTGCTGAAAGGACCGTGTTGTAGACTGGAGATAGATGATGTTATATCCACCCCCCTCTGTTGCGAAAGGGCTGTTTTCAATTTTGACCTAGATGATCTCTTTGACCCCTCTTTCAAACCAGCGGTCCTCTCTGTCCAAAATGCCAAAAAAGGAGCTGGTTTGAAAGAAGGGTCAAAGAGATCATCTAGGTCAAAACTGAACAGCCCTCTCAACAGAGTGAGGTTTTTTTTAAAATTATTCCTAGGTGGGTTCCACTTCTATTAGACTAAGCAAATGAGAGAACGGTGGGAAAGACTGGACGAAAGAGAAAAAAGTAGACTCTAATGAAATAATTATAATGCTTTTTTTTCATCCCGTGTAGGAGGAGAGTGGTAAAGGCAGATAATCTAGGATAGACTCCTCCAGATATTATAAAAGAAACAGGTTTATTGGATTTAATCCATCGTTTTGTGTCAAAAGGGATTGGCATTCATAACACCCAGAAGAAAATATGTGCTAGAAGCTGTTCATCAAAAGAGGATCCCTTTGATTTCGGGGGTGGCCAAGAGACATGAAGATTAGAAAATCTGGAAGCTTGCCTCACCCATAACTATTAAGGACCCTGACGGGGGTGACGAATAATCTCCTTCTTCCACATCTGCAGGATCCCCCAAAGGTCTATTCCCCACAAGTGCCCCAGTGGGAAAAGAGTGAAAGATTTTTACCCAACCACATCTGGAAGGCCCAGGAGCCCCAAAACATCTTTACGATAAGGAGGAGCTTGGGTGGAGGGGGCTGGAATAGAAGGAGTTTGGAACATGGCTCAAGATCCCAAAACAAACAAACTCACTTGGAATTCCATCCACAAAGTTTTATTTAAAAAGAAGCATTTGCAAATGCTTGATGAGCTGAAACACGTAGGAGTCCAGCCACAGCTTAAAGAGCTGTTTGACACATTTTTATATCCTACCCCTGAGGCAGATTCCCCCCCTCCCCTATCGCACTCAACGCCCCTTGCCTAATCCTCCGATAAACTAATCCAGACTGCCTAAAACTACTATCCCTTCCCATGTTCCAGGAAGCCCCTTTGTGCACGTTTTATCTATCACCATCTAATTTTCTGTTAACAAAGCTCGGCTCCTATAGTTATTTCTATTTTTCCTCTGCTTGCGGTTTCAGTTAGCTGGCAACTTCTGCTTTTCTTATTTGCATACAGTTATCCTGTCTGAGTTTATGATTTTCAGGTGGCTTCTCCTATAGACCTTTAGACTCATTAGAAATTTCTGATTAATAATCTACTCCTGTCAAAGGGACTCGGAGAAATTTGCATCCTTTGAATCTCTTCTAAGAAAGATAGAAAAAGGGGCTTTTTTTGAGGGGGGGGTGTTGATCCTAGCAGGCAGAAATAGGGCTCTATTAGGGCTCATTTCCCCCAGAGTAGCACACTTCGATGTGAAGGGATCCAGACTGCCCTGATCTTTAGTGGGGAGGGAAGTCCAAAGTTTGAAATGACCCAGGGACACTTTTTGCCGAAAACCAAGTTCTCAGGCAGGAAATATTTCCATTCAAGGCTTTCTGGGTCAGTGGGAGAAGCTGCCCCAGACTCTCACCTGTCTCTGCCCAAAGTCTCCCCTGGAGGATTCGGCCAAAGAGCAGAGCTGAAACTTTGAGGATAATAATTCTTCCCCTCAGGAGGGATCCCTGGCTAATTCAACCACTTCTTGGTCTCAGAGATTGTCGGGCATTTCTCTGGAGAGATATGAAAAGGAAATAACCCCCATATGGTTCATAATGATAGGGGCAGAAATTGAATTAAATCCCTCATTTAGAATTGAGAGGTTTGGGATCTCCATTCTTGGAAATTGGCCCTGGAGGGAATTGCACGGCCCCTGTGGCTGAAGATAAAAAGACATCTGACATTTGTTGGCATAGTGGTTAAAGAAAAACCCCCAGGGAACAGTTAATGCCCGAGCATGTCACGGATCTGACAATAGCTCCCTTCTCAATTAGAAGCAAAATTGACTTTATTTTGAAAGCTGATGCTCGAGGGCACACCCACAAAAGGGGAGGCCACACAAAGGCGAAAGCAGTCTTTGACGCCGGGCTAAAGCAGTTCTTGAAAAAGGCAAAAGCAGTCTTGGATGCAGGGCTAAAGCAGTTTGTTTGTTTTTCCAATTTTTTTTTATTAATTTTCTATTATTACATTTGATTAGTGCTTCATAAACATCGTGGTGTTGGGGTTAATTTGTTGGCTTAGTAATACAAGTTACATTCTTAGTCTCTGACCCTTTTTTTCCAACCGCTGATAAAATAAATTCCATGTTTGAAAATATTCTCTTTGATCCTCAATGTAAGTCTGTCCATTTCATCACAGTCCAATATCTTCTTGATTATCTCTTCTAAGTTGCATCTCTCTTCACTGAGCTTCTATCCATTGCTTCTTGTTCTGCCTTCAGGTGCTTTGGAGAATGAATTGACCCACTCTTCTCCGTGGTAGTCACTCAAGCGTTGGATAGTCCTTCTCTTTGTTAGACTAGACATACTCAGTCCCTTAATTGATCATCATATGGTTTAGCCTCCAGACCCCTGGTCATCTTCATTGCTCTTCTCCGCCCACTGATGGAGTTGCCCATAGTGATGGAGGCTGAGGGGTTTATGGGTTGGGAGAGCCGAGAGTGGACCTCCCAAAACTGCTCTGACAGTCCTATAAAGCATGTCTTCTATTCAGAATCCCAATTTGTTCTTTTGATAGTGTCGTGGAAAAACCCAATGGAAAAGACAAGCGACAGCAACACAAAATACTTACTTTAAGATTCAGAGGTTTATTTTTCTAATAACTTGGAAATAGCATTACATAGCATTACTTACATTAACAACCCATTGCAATGAGGTCCACTGGCATAGTAAATTCCAAAGGGCAACTACAGGGTTAGGGTTAGGCCAATGGCCCCGAGCCAGACTTCAATATTTTTATACTTTTCTTCTATCGACCACCCACTCATAATAATTATTTTGCAAAAGCAATTCCTTGTTCCTTTGTGCCGACCAGCAGTTTCCAAATGCACCCGTGTACATGTGAAACCTCTATCCATCTGCTATTTTCACTTCCTCTTTTCCCACGGTTACAATACTTATGTTCCAAATATATATATATATATATATATTTATACTGCACAAAGCTCAGCAGATTACAAATAATATGTCCGTATTGTGAAACAACATAAAGTTCAAGTTAAAGCTTTAAATCACTACTGTGGGGCCTATTTCAGGTTTGTTCCAGCCTCATCTTATTATATGAGGAGGGGGCCAAATTTCCATCTCCCACAATAGTAAATAAATGTTTGCCATGAATGGACTAGGGTTAAATAACAATTATTGATAGACAGCCAGCTCAAGGACTGTAGTATCCTACATTTTGGCAATTATAAATAGGCCACACCTACCAAGAGACTTCTCTTTAGCAAGATTTATTGAGCTGAAAGGGAAGGGAGTTACAAGAATTATAGTCATTCAACCATTTCCCATTTGGAAACATGTAAATATGTTTTTCTTTGACTCCTGAATACTATCCAATAATTAATGTGTTCTTTCAAATAAAAGGAACATTTACAATTCTTCAAATATCATGGTGTTATGTCTCATGTTTTTACATTTGTTCTGGCTGTAAGATGCTCCTTTGTGTTCAAGTCTGGCCTCAGAATGATAATGTAGCACTTGGGGATGAAGATGCAGCCTAGCAGACCAGCACCGGAGGCCAGGATGGAGAAAAGCTGCACAGCCACCATGAATTTCCCTTTTGTGCTCAGGTAGGTGGGCACAAAAGTCACCCAGACACTGCAGAAAACCAGCATGCTGAAGGTAATCAGCTTGGCTTCATTGAAGGCCCCAGGCAGATTCCTGGCCAGGAAAGCCACCGTGAAGCAGATGGCAGCCAGGAAGCCCATGTAGCTGAGGGTGATGTAGAACATGACAACAGCCCCTTCGTTGCATTGCAGGATGATCTCTCCAGCCTGGGAGTGGAGGTCAGAGTCAGGGAATGGGGGAGAGACTCCCAGCCAGATGGAGCAAATGATAATTTGGACTGAAGAACAAGAAAGGATGATAGAGTTGGCCAAACTCTTCCCCAACCATCTCTGCACTTGGTTTCCTGGTTGTGTGGCCAGGAAAACCAGCACCACTGTGATAGTTTTGGCCAAGAGAGAAGAAACGGCAACTGAGAAGATGTTGCTGAAAACCATTTGTCGGAGAAGGCAGGTGACTTTCCTTGGTTGACCAATGAAGAGAAAAGGAGAC